ACGGGAGTGACCGCAAAGCTGCTGGGCTCGGAGGCGGGCTCACATTCAAGCACTCCCTTTGTGCTCTCGTTGCTAATGGAAGAGCTGCTGGAGAGGGAGACCAAGCCCGAATCTTGACTGCTGGGGGGCGAGAATACTGGGAAGTGGGAGAGACAGAGGGAGAAGAATGTGTTAAAAGTGTCTAGTCTTTGCACATTCAGTCTTCAGTTAGGTTCCAACAAAGAAAGAGGCACTCTGCATTTCTATTTCCAGTGAAAGTGTTTTTATAGACACTCATTAAAATCCCGAGCACTTTTTTTTAAAATAAGAAAATAGAATTTCAGTGCAGTATTATCTATTTAACTGTAGGGGAAAGTTAACTAGCAGAGTTCCAGTTTTATGTTCATTAAAAACAAACAAAAAAACAGTCTGTTCCCCTCTCTTGGAGGAAACTACTTCCACCCTTCACTGAGCCCCTCCTTTATGTAAAGGATGCTAATAGAACCTGTCTTGTCAAATGATCCATCTGACAAATTACCCCAAGCAAGACTCCACCCATGTATTTCCACCATTTGACAGGTAACCCTAGTTTTCAATATATAGCATGTGAAGGTGATAGCGTATCAACTTTCCTGTGGAGATATGGGGACAAACACTTGCGGTGGGGGGGTGGGGGGGGGAGGGCTTCAGCATACATACTGTTTTTAAAAGTAAAAAGCAGTAAATGGGAGGGAAACTTTTTAAAACCACAAAACGTGTAAGAAGTTGAATTATACCACACTAAAATAGAACCCAGATAAAGATTTTTAAAGCAAACCTGTGAACACAGAACTCCTCTAAAAACGGACATTAAATATGAAGGATGTTAAAGTAATAAAGTGCCGAACAATTTTTGCGACCTTACAAGCCACAACAGATACAAAATTTAAGCAAAAGGGTCTCTGACCTTCTTAACCTTAACCGAGTTCAGATCCACCCCTGGAACTCCCTTCCTGCCTGGTGTGAATGTAATTAAGGGGAAGCTGCAGTGGTAATTTCTCTCCTCATTAACTTCCTGATTGGTTTCAGCCTCAGGATTCTGCCGGGCAGTAGTTTGTCACCAATTCCAAATGGCCAATCGTTAATACTAATGTTTGTGTAACTAACTGCCAGCATCTGCCACGGCTTCTTGTACAACAATAATGGTGAAAGGGTACATTAGTGCTCCTGTGTTAATTCAGCTTGTGTTCATCAATAGGGAAATCTATGATGTAATTAGCACCATGCATTGGGAGCTGAGTGTTGAAGTCATTTGTAGAGAACTAAATCATAGGAGCTGTACTGGGTCCTGATGTGTTTGCCATCAGTACTTACTATGTTTGGAATTTAATAAGGCATATTACCACACTGAAGAGACCCTTTTATAAGAGAACACCATTTACGCTTGTTATGAGTTTGGGAAAGTTTGCTGCAGCTAGTGAAACCACACATGGATAAAAGAATAGGGCTGGGATTTAGGAGCAGACCTTTAACCACTCCACTGGACCAAATCATTTCAGAGAGCCCCTTTCTTCTAATGTGACATTTGGACAGACAGACGGACGGATAGTTTTGTAGAGTTACCTCAATATCCAGTAAAGAAAGACATGATCTGAAAACTTAATAATGGAATAACTTTGAAAAATAATTTTGGTGATTTCCTGAAAAGTCATTTTCATATTCACAGTACTTGTTTAGTAACTTCAATGAAATCCAAGAGCAATAGTTTGTAAGCTCTTTTTTTTATATAAAGGAGCCATTAAATGGTAGTACTTAAAAATGCCAATAAGGGTGCATATATAAATACTAAGTAACAACCAAAAAACCTGGAAACTATGAATTCTGAGGCCTTCATTTCATTGCAGTTCATTAAAGCCTTCTTACTACATTTGAATTGTTATGTGGATTCACAATTCCCTGCAAATTAAAGGCGAGTTATGAATTGTGTTACATGCACAAGGATACTGTATATACACAAATGTTTTCCGAAGGTGGGAGACTTTGCTATGACATCTTGTTATTTACTATACGGAGATCTGGAGCATGAAGAGCTAGCCAGAGTCCATAAGTTAATCTGTCAACCTTTCATCCCCACTTCAAACCAGGGACAGCAGTTCTCTATAGAAGCAATGGGAAGGGGGTGAGCATTTCCCGACTGCTTCCTGTATGCCACACACTTTATGGAGGTATCCTCTCCATTTTACCGAAGGGACCCTGTGGAAGCTGCCAAGGGCAGTGTGGCACTGGACAGACAGCCTGGCCCTCTGGCTTGCTCTCGTCCCTGCACCATCCCACTCTTGTGTGCCCTTTAATCACCGGCAACTGAACCTTCCTAATCTCGGTGTGAGTTTAAAGAGGCAAACAACTGACCCTTACCAGACTAATGCAGAGGTTATAAGGAATAGGTAAGTGGAGCCCCAGGCCTGCCTTTGCTTCAGTTAGCAGCTGGCCTAGAATTCCTACCCCTCACCCCAGTCACACGCCTCCCACTCCCCATTTAGGGGATTTGGGCCTACAAAGGAGAGGTGGGGTAGGAATTCTGCAAAGGAAAGGAATTTGGGCCCAGACCCCCTTTTGCTCTCACTTGCCTTGTGGATATTTTCTTGGAAAGTATTTCTATGACTTGAGGCTACAAAAATATGCAGAGTGTTGCCACCTGCATAGACTAGGGAGGCTCTAAGCGAGCTTAATGCATGACTGCACTACGGAGAAGATGCAAATGAACGAACTCAACCTGTCTTGAGACACAACTATTTTTAAAAGCATTTCTCCACTCAAAATGTAAATCCATGTTATTTTACTCTGGTCAAGGCGTAGCATTGTCTTTGAATAATGGGCTGTTGAAATTAGGGATAGTATCTGTTCAACTCATTTTGGTAGCACCTCATAAAAGTAGATCCAAGTGCATTAAAGATTTTGTAACTGTTTATCTTGGTAACTAAAGTCCAAAATCTATTCTACTACCATCCTTAAAGATACTCTCTCCATTTGAATGCAGCTTCATTAAACTGTGTTGGTGGAAGAGAAATAATTGATCATTGTAAATAATTTTATGCCAATTAAAGATTCATAAGTCAAAATTATCCCTTTTTCTTTTTAAGTTGATTCTAATGAGCCCCGAACAAGGCTCATTTCAGCTCTAAAGGTTTCTCTTAATTATTATTTTTTAAATGGTAATGTCTAGTGTCCGTGGGACTGTTTAGGAAAGGGCTGTTGTGGGTAGCACTAGAAATTGGTTCAATCTTTCTGGACAGCAACCTAGTGACATGTAATAAGAACCTTAAGAGTGTTCATACCCTCTGACCTGGTAATTCCACTTTGGGGAATAAGCCCTAAGCAAGAAAGAATAATTGGCCCATAGATGCTCAGCACACCACTATTAGCATCAGTAAAGATGTTGTGCTTTGCTGTGGTGCTGGGGTTCGGGGGGTGGGGCTGAGGGTAGCTGCTCTTGGGTTGGGGGTCAGGAAGCATTCACAGGCAATCAACAATTCAGGATTACGCCACCCTGTAATCATCAACAGGCTCCCAGTATTTACGGAAAAGGAAGAAATGACTTCTGGAGACCAAAGTAGAGACTTGAACAGGAAGAAAAAGAGGGAAACCTGCCCATCTGATCTTTTTACATTACAATGAAAGTGGTAAGCCTCTGAGGGTGACCCCTGTTTGAACCAGCAAGCCCAGTATCTGTTTTCTCTCAAGTAGCCTATTTGTCTACAGAAGCTAAAGGGTATTTATTATTATTTTAAAAACAAACAAAAACTTACACATAACCACTCTTACCAAGAATGTTGGGGGGGGGGGCAGGGGGAGAACCTTAAGATGATTTCAGTGATACCATCTAAACCATCAGTATTCTTTTTGGAAAGTAGTATGTACTGCCCAAAACCCCACCCCTCTGAAAAACAAAACAAAAACCACTCTAGCTGCTAAATCTTTTGACATTGCAAAGACCCCTGACTTTTAACTTGAATGATCTGTTGGAAGTCAATGGACTGGAACGAATAATTCTCTTCCAGTGATGTGAGAAAACCGGATACTCATGCTTGAGAAAAAAAATTTCTCCTTCTATATACTATTAAACTCTCACTAAGAAACCATTTAAAAATAAAAATACAAGTGGCATTTTTCAATTGCTAGCAACCCTTCACTTAGATGCAGACAGGGAAACAAAAATGCTGGCCTCTTTAGTTTCCTAGTTTACAGGCCCAAGAGTCTGATGAAAAGCTGATGAATATTTCTCAAACAACAAATTCTTCTGCTTCATGATAACCATAGTGTTTGGAAATAAAATCATGTCCAATCAATACCACTTAGCAGATATTTAATGTTTCACAACAGAACTCTTTTCCAGAGTGGAACTGTGGCCCTTCTCACTAACATTCAAAATAATTAGGATTATCTTAGCTGTCCAAAGCTTGGCAGGTTCAGTTTGCACTTTCAAACAGCAGTAATTCTTGGCACTCAGAACAAGGGATAAAAGCTAAAGATATGAATGGAGATCTTTATTCAACCTGATCTATCATGGATTAGCTCATTCTTTTCCAGTTCATGCCTGCATTCTAGTTAAGAGGAAGGCTAAGCTGTAACTGATGTAATTAGAAACCACAAGCTCAGAAAAAATAGCCCGTTTTTTCTTCCCCATTTACTATATATCTAGTAAAAAAAATAATCTTTGAAACAATTAAATGTTTTTTCCACATAAGTGTAATTAAAGAGGAGTGAGGTAAGCTTTTCTGAAAATATATCTTAATTGTCAGTTCTAAAATCTAACACCGATTTTATCTTAGTAACTAATGTCCAGAGGGGCCAGCTCTGCACTTTGTATATTGTGTAGAGAAGTGGCCAAGCCATGGCAAATGAGAGAGAGTTCCTGTAAATGGAATATGTACATTATCAGTGCTTCCTCCTTGATATAACTATCATAACCTTGTAAACACTGGGAATTACCATTTTTAAAAATGAAGTGAACTTAGCACATACTTATGCAGTAAACAATAACA